TAGTGGTATAAGATTCATACCCGTATTATTCCTTATGCCGCTTATACCTCTTATACCGCTAATACCGCTATAGTAGTATAAGATCCATACTCCTATTATTCCTTATACCGCTATACTGCTATATTACTACCTTATACCGCTGTAGTGGTATAATACTCATACCCCTATTATTCCGTATACCGCTTATATCGCTCTACGACTAGAATCACTGGTTGATACCGCTATACGAATATATCTAGATCCGGTTGTATGACTGGATCCTTAAGTCACATATTTCGCTTGTCCATAACATTTATATCTTCGTTGAATTTTGATAGAAATATATCGATTAATCCGAATTTGCCGCAAAATCAAATTTCCCATTAACTCATATTTTTATCTGATTCTTGTTATGCCGTTACTGAATCTTCGTCTTATGTCTAAACTGTCTTTGATACTCTCTAAAAAAATGTGTCATATAAAACCATAAAAGGTTCTAAATTTGGGTACCATTTCCAGAACTTTTTTGTAGGTTCTAGGAAACAGTCTAAAACCTTTTTTAGTGCCACATTTCTGACTAAAACCATTCTAAGTTCTGGAGTTTTGGGCTACAACTTAAAAATGTTCAGTATGCACGCTTTTTGGAGAGTACTAAACTCATCGAAAATTAAAAGAGATATTCGAAACTTTCGAAAAACACAGAAACCAGTATATGTCGACTCACATAGCAATAAAAAGCGCTTTTTTAAAATAGAAGTCCAAATAATAACAGTAGGAAAAGGCAGTATAGTTAAAATTGTGCTGCGTTACACATAGTGGCAGCGGCAGATCTAGGGGAGGTGCTACGGTGCCATCTTCGAAAAAAGTTATCATATAGTTCTCATATGTATCATACTGCTCTTATTTCGATAGATCATGTAGCTATGAAATATATGAATTGCAATAGCTAGTAATAACAGAAACATTTTTATAAAACGACCGACAAAAACTGAACTTCAAGACGTCCGCACCTCCCTTGAAAAATCCCTAGATCCACCACTGCATCGTGTGAAACTAGGCGGACATAAGTAAAGATATTCTTTTCCAGAATCTAACCGTTTGCATAGATAGATACATATGTCATCTGTCATTTTCTAAAATAACAGTTTTCAAAGTTTGATAGAGTCCCAGAAAAGAGTCCGGCAAGTCTTTGACTCAGTAACTGGCATAAATCGAGTCAAGCTGTTCCGCAATAAAACAATATCACAAAAAAAACTAATTCATCTGGGGACTTTATGTTTATACAACAACAATCGCAATCCAATTCAAAACAGATTACAAAACAATGTATTTCGCGGCCAAAACAGCATGCCTGGGAACCGATCGTTCTGTATATTGTAAACACTACAAACGGAGGAGATCTGATGAAGCTCAAATTTTGACCAGATATACTTACGTATGCATCCTAATGATGGCAACAGCACCAACTCATGAAATCTTTCCTAGACTGTTTTAGACGCTTCTCGAAAGTGCAAAGTCTCTGACCGGAACTTTGCTCTTAAGCATTCATATTACACTGAGGAAACACCGAGATAATATTCGGAATCCGCTCGTCGAGATGCATCGAACGACGAATCCAACTTTGGATTTTTCAAACGCTACAAAACAGGTAGAGTCCCATGGAATTGAAATCTTTACCACATATTCCTACATATGTATTCTAATAATGGTTGTAGTGTCAAGTCTCGAAATTTCATCCTAGCTTATTCTAGGAACACAGGATTTCCAAAAACCAGGGGGTTTTCTCGAAAATCCGGTTTTTTGCATTCAGATTATATTTTGAAGAGCAGATAAGGGGCTGTTCGGAAACGAAGTCACCCGTTAGAGTGGAGGGAGCAGTTCAACCATTTAATGGTGCCATCTATTAAGTGCTGCATTGGCAAAGAGAATTGTTGGAAGCTAGTCAGAATAAAAGTTAGCTAGACGAAGTTACTTAACTCAGAACTCATAAATACTTGAATTTTAAAGGCTCCGACCTTCGTGAGGATCGTTTGAAAGTGACACACACACGCCCTGGCGAAAATTCAGCTCCTGTAACTCTCAGGAGTCGTGAGTTGTATGTTTAGAACTGATGATGGCGCCACCTAGCGGAAAGCGAGAGAGAGGTGAAAAATCGCCAAAATTGAGTAGCGCCTTTTCAGAACAGCTCATTATATGATATTCGGAATCAGCATATTAAACTGCGTCGAATGATATTAAACACAAAAAATATTTTGCAAAAAAATTTGGGCAGGGAACTTTTTAGGCATATTTGGTCAAAAACGTTTTTTTTGAAAATGTTTTTCATCTCAAATATAAGCCATTGAGTGCTATGCTATCATTTCTGAGCAAGAAAAATCCGTTTTCACTCAATAAAATTGCATTTGAAAGTTGCATGCCTGCCGGCTTATATGAAAGCTCCTAACTGTGTTACAGTTTAAGATCTTACTTCCGGCTACTGTGGTTCCTGAAGTAGCGCCAGGTGCCCATTTCTGCACTCTCCTATTCTCTTGATCAAGAACATAAACATTTCCACTAGCATCTAGCGAAACAGCTGTTGGACCTCGTAAATACATGGCTCCGGTTCCGTAATCACCAGAAGCTCGACCAGCGACAGTGTATGGTGATACATAGCTCCAATTTAATGGCCATTCTTGTACCCGGTTATTCTTATAGTCTGCCACATAAACATTTTGATTGGAATCCATAAAAGCACCCATTGGTTGACATAGGAAATAGTCAGAGATTGTTAATGTTGGATGACAGAGTCCTGGCAAAATGTCTAAATACCTTTGACCCGCTATGGTTATGCCTGTCTGATTCCATGATGGTTCTGAGCAAATGGAAGCGAACCCATAAACTGTAAGAAAGAGTGTAAGAAACAATTTCATGGCGGATACTATTTCAATGTTAGTTATTACCTTCATTCTTGTTTGAGATAAGTAGAAGCAGTTCGAAACACAGAACTATCCATTCAAACATCTTTTGCAACTTATTTCCACTTGCAAAATACTGTGAAAGTGACGTGATTTTTTTTACCAAGGAACAAACACAAATGACACCCTATTTATACATGTTTTCGTTTAAGTTTCGCGGAAACCGATGTTGTACGCATCAGCATAGGAAGAAACTGCTTCAAACTCTCGTGACGGCTTATTTACAACAAAAAGGAAGAAAAAAAAAACCTAACATGGGATTTCTTTCAAAAAACAAGTAACGCTCGTCTCTGTGACTCGCTTGACCCTCGACTGTATATTTGACTGCTTCGATATTTTTACTGTTACACATACCTTTCAAAAGCTAGCAACTGGCCTATGTATAAGGTTGTGTCTGAGTGCGAATAGTAATACACAAATCTGTGTCGGCGTGTGAATAGTCATGCGTATCTTTGAGATACTACTTTCCATATCATTCATTCACTTAAACTGATACTCTACGAGTACTATCCAAAGTAAATCTGTATGACCCACAATAGTACAGCAATATCCACAGGCTCCGAAAAGACAGTATATTCGATTTGTAGAGATAATCAAGAAACAAAACATATCCGAGATAATAGGGTGAAAATGCACTATACTTCTCGAAAACTATCATCATAATCCGTATAGCCACCAGTAAAAAACCGAGAATATCATTTACCAGTGCTCGCTACAAAAATACCTGCGTAGCGGAACTTTCAGATTAAAATAAATCATATTGGTTCAAACCAATACTCGTCATATACCATTTGAGTGAGATTTTCATTCAAAGTCCTCGTTGGATTAAACAGTTAATTCCAAAATACCCAAAGAAATTTAGACAAGTGAATGGGCAGAAGTATGGATAAGTGAAATGAGAAAAACGGATTTTATTGTACTCAAATCTACTTTGAATGAACTTATGTAAATTGTTTAATTAAGGTTTTTCATGGAATGTTCTATCCCGATCGTCAGCAAATTCAG